TTTAGCCAGCACCATCTTTAGATTAGCCTTAACGTCGGTAGCCCTGCCCCCTGGTAAACAGTGTATGATCGCTGGGTGATTCGTTTTAAGTCTAATACTGCGGGTAATGGAGTCGCCAATGACTAGGGTTTTCAATTTGTCAGAGCTAATGGTGGGAGCCTTCGGCGTCTCAGACCCCGTAACGGGAGGAGTAGAGACAAGAGAAGACTCAGACTCAGACTCCGACTCGCTACATAATGGGGAAAACCGGTTGAAGGTTTCTGTCGGCTGAATGAGCGACACCGGTTGAGCATTCCAACAGTATTTCCCTCCAGAAGCCATGAGAAAGTTGTCCGGCTGCGGGGACTGTGCGGGGGGATTTATACTAACGTTACTGTCTGTACTTACTGGTGGCACAGACGCTGTTTTCTTCCTTTCCTACACTGAAATTACCCTTGCCTAACGATTGCGTCTGAAGCTGGGCTTGTAGCACAGCTATTCTCGCCGTAAGGCGATCGTTCTCCTGTATATTATGAGTACAGCGACTGCAATTAGAAGACATCATGTTAATGTTACTACTTAGCTTCGGCTGTTGAAGATGTTGACGAACCATGTCCAGATAAAGCGTCCGGAGTGAAAAAGTTGAATAAGGGAAAAAAGTTGCGATGGAAAAAAGGAAAATAAAGTAAAATTGGCAGCTAAAACGCACAGGGAAATGACTCTTCTGTCTCGGGATAAAACGTCCGGGGTGAAAAAGTTTAACGAAAAAAGATGAGTGAGGACAAAACTAAAAAGTTGGTAAATTTGTTGAACACAGAGATTGATTAAACGTTTATTAAAAGTAAAACGTGAATAGTTTGGCAGGTAGCCAAGTAGCAACAAACAGCACAGCAGCACGGAGACAATGCGGAAGCGAGCTGGTGAGCTCAGGCATGGTTCGTTTACATTTACGTCATTTAGCAGATGCTCTTATCCAGAGCGACTTACAAATTGGTGCATTCACCTTATAGACAGTGGGATAACCACTTTACAATATGTTTTTTTTTTCCTTCCTTTCTTTGGGGTGGGTTAAGGGGGGGGTAGAATGATTACTTTATCCTATCCCAGGTATTCCTTAAAGAGGTGGGGTTTCAAGTGTTGCTTGCCTCAAAGCGAGCATAAAAAAAGGCATTTAGCCCGCCTGATAGGCTCGCGTCACTGGGCAGCTCACTACACGGGGACAGAGACCTACAGTACGATAGGATAGTTAGTTTCACTACCGTGCACCTACGAGTTACACCACACTGTCACAACCACACACACACTTAAACAAAGGTTATCAAAGAAAGATGTTAAAATGTCAGTTAGTTAGGTTAGTTGAGTAAAATATAAAGGAACCTAAGACTTAAGACCCTGTGTGGTCAATGATTATCTATAATTACCCTTTGGCATCTAATCCTACTAGCAGACTCACTAGGTTCCGTCATTAGTTCCAGTCACTACATTATATGACCCATAGATCTGGTACTGGTACCGGCCCGACACTGGTATGTTGTCGTTGTTGGAGAATGAAACACAGGGTCCAGGAACTAACTAACTAACTAAAGTTACTGTGTCAGTGACAAGACATTAGTAGTAGCCTAACACATGCTCTCAGACACATTCAGTAAATCCACATCACAAACCAGGCGCTGTAGTTCGGGGCCGCTGTAGTTCAGGGTGTTGTAGTTTGGGGCGCTGTAGTTCGGGGTGTTGTAGTTTGGGGCGCTGTAGTTCGGGGCGCTGTAGTTCGGGGCGCTGTAGTTTGGGGCGCTGTAGTTTGGGGCGCTGTAGTTCGGGGGGCTGCAGTTTGGGGCGCTGTAGTTTGGGGCGCTGTAGTTCGGGGCGCTGTAGTTCGGGGCGCTGCAGTTCTGGGCGCTGTAGTTCGGGGCGCTGTAGTTTGGGGCGCTGTAGTTCGGGGCGCTGTAGTTTGGGGCGCTGTAGTTCGGGGCGCTGTAGTTCGGGGTGTTGTAGTTTGGGGCGCTGTAGTTCGGGGCGCTGCAGTTCAGGGCGCTGTAGTTCGGGGCGCTGTAGTTCGGGGCGCTGTAGTTTGGGGCGCTGTAGTTCGGGGTGTTGTAGTTCGGGGTGTTGTAGTTTGGGGCGCTGTAGTTCGGGGCGCTGTAGTTCGGGGCGCTGCAGTTCAGGGCGCTGTAGTTCGGGGCGCTGTAGTTTGGGGCGCTGTAGTTCGGGGTGTTGTAGTTCGGGGTGTTGTAGTTTGGGGTGTTGTAGTTCGGGGTGTTGTAGTTTGGGGCGCTGTAGTTTGGGGCGCTGTAGTTTGGGGCGCTGTAGTTCAAGGCCGTTGTAGTTTGGGCCGTTGTAGTTTGGGCGTTGTAGTTTGGGCGTTGTAGTTTGGGGCGCTGTAGTTCAGGGCGTTGTAGTTTGGGGCGTTGTAGTTTGGGGCGTTGTAGTTTGGGGCGCTGTAGTTCAGGGTGTTGTAGTTTGGGGCGCTGTAGTTCGGGGTGTTGTAGTTTCGGGGCGCTGTAGTTCGGGGCGGCTGTAGTTCGGGGCGCTGTAGTTCGGGGCGCTGTAGTTCGGGGCGCTGTAGTTCGGGGCGCTGTAGTTCGGGGCGCTGTAGTTCGGGGCGCTGTAGTTCGGGGCGCTGTAGTTCGGGGTGTTGTAGTTTGGGCCGTTGTAGTTTGGGCCGTTGTAGTTTGGGCCGTTGTAGTTTGGGCCGTTGTAGTTTGGGGCGCTGTAGTTCAAGGCCGCTGTAGTTTGGGGCGCTGTAGTTTGGGGCGCTGTAGTTTGGGGCGCTGTAGTTCAAGGCCGTTGTAGTTTGGGCCGTTGTAGTTTGGGCATTGTAGTTTGGGCGTTGTAGTTTGGGGCGTTGTAGTTTGGGGCGCTGTAGTTCAGGGTGTTGTAGTTTGGGGCGTTGTAGTTTGGGGCGTTGTAGTTCAGGGTGTTGTAGTTTGGGGCGTTGTAGTTGGGGCGCTGTAGTTCAGGGCGGTGTAGTTTGGGGCGCTTGTAGTTGGGGTGTTGTGTAGTGTTGGGCGCTGTAGTTCGGGGCGCTTGTAGTTCGGGGCGCTGTAGTTTGGGGCGCTGTAGTTTTGGGGCGCTGTAGTTCGGGGGGCTGAGTTTGGGGCGCTGTAGTTTGGGGCGCTGTAGTTTTGGGGCGCTGCAGTTCGGGGCGCTGCAGTTTCGGGGCGCTGTAGTTCGGGGGCGCTGTAGTTTTGGGGGGCTGTAGTTCGGGGGGCTGTTTTGGGGCGCTGTAGTTCGGGGTGTTGTAGTTTGGGGCGCTGTGTAGTTCGGGGCGCTGTAGTTCGGGGCGCTGCAGTTCAGGCGCTGTAGTTCGGGGCGCTGCAGTTAGGGCGCTGTAGTTCGGGGCGCTGTAGTTTTGGGGCGCTGTAGTTCGGGTGTTGTAGTTCGGGGTGTTGTAGTTCGGGGTGTTGTAGTTTGGGGCGCTGTAGTTCGGGGCGCTGTAGTTCGGGGCGCTGCAGTTCAGGGCGCTGTAGTTCGGGGCGCTGTAGTTCGGGGCGCTGCAGTTCAGGGCGCTGTAGTTCGGGGCGCTGCAGTTCAGGGCGCTGTAGTTCGGGGCGCTGCAGTTCAGGGCGCTGTAGTTCGGCGGGCGCTGTAGTTTGGGGCGCTGTAGTTCGGGGCGCTGTAGTTTGGGGCGCTCTGTATGTTTCGGGGGTGTTGTAGTTCGGGGCTTGTTGTAGTTTGGGGCGCTGTAGTTCGGGGCCTGTAGTTCGGGGCGCTGAGTTCAGGGGCGCTGTAGTTCGGGGCTTGTAGTTTGGGCGCTGTATTTTTATTCGTGTTTGTAGTTCGTGGTGTTGTGTTGGGGTTTTTAGTTTTCGGGTGTTGTATTTTGGGGCGCTTTGTTTGGGGCGTGTAGTTTTGTGGCGCTGTATTTCGGGGGCTGCAGTTTGGGCGCTGTATTTTTGGGGGTGTGAGTTTCGGGCGCTTTATGTAGTTGGGGCGCGTGCTTTCGGGCTCTGTAGTCTGGGCTTGTGTAGTTCGGGGCGCTGCAGTTCAGGGCGCTGTATTCGGGGGCGCTGTAGTTTTGGGGCGCTGTTAGTTCGGGCGCTTGTAGTTTGGGGCGCTGTATTTCGGGGTGTTGTTTTCGGGGTTTTTAGTTCGGCGCTGCAGTTCGGGGCGCTGCAGTTCAACGCGCTGTATTCGGGGCGCTGTATTTTGGGTGGGCGCTGTAGTTCAAGGCCGTTGTTGTAGTTTGGGCGTTGTATTGGGGCGTTGTAGTTTGGGCGTTGTAGTTTTGGGGGGCGTTGTAGTTTGTGGGCGTTGTAGTTCAGGGCGTTGTAGTTTGGGGCGTTGTAGTTGGGTGGCTTGTTGTAGTTCAGTGTGTTGTAGTTTGGGGCGTGTAGTTTGGGGCGCTGTAGTTCAGGGTGTTGTAGTTTGGGGCGCTGTAGTTTTCGGGGTGTGTAGTTCGGGGCGCTGTAGTTCGGGGCGCTGTAGTTCGGGGCGCTGTAGTTCGGGGCGCTGTAGTTCGGGCGCTGTAGTTCGGGCGCTGTAGTTCGGGGCGCTGTAGTTCGGGGCGCTGTAGTTCGGGGTGTTGTAGTTTGGGCCGTTGTAGTTTGGGCCGTTGTAGTTTGGGCCGTTGTAGTTTGGGGCGCTGTAGTTCAAGGCCGCTGTAGTTTGGGGCGCTGTAGTTCAAGGCCGCTGTAGTTTGGGGCGCTGTAGTTTGGGGCGCTGTAGTTTGGGGCGCTGTAGTTCAAGGCCAGTTGTAGTTTGGGCCGTTGTAGTTTGGGCGTTGTAGTTTGGGCGTTGTAGTTTGGGGCGCTGTAGTTTGGGGGCGCTGTAGTTCAGGGTGTTGTAGTTTGGGGCGTTGTAGTTTGGGGGCGTTGTAGTTCAGGGTGGTTGTAGTTTGGGGCGTTTGTAGTTTGGGGCGCTGTAGTTCAGGGTGTTGTAGTTCGGGGGCGCTGTAGTTCGGGGGCGCTGTAGTTTTGGGGGCGCTGTAGTTTTGGGGCGCTGTAGTTCGGGGGTCTGCAGTTTTGGGGCGCTGTAGTTTGAGGGCGCTGTAGTCGGGGCGCTGTAGTTCGGGGCGCTGCAGTTCAGGGCGCTGTAGTTTCGGGGCGCTGTAGGTTTGGGGCCTGTAGTTTTGGGGCGCTTGTAGTTCGGGGGTGTTGTAGTTCGGGGGCGCTGTATGTTCGGGGCGCTGTAGTTCGGGCGGCGCTGCAGTTCAGGGCGCTGTAGTTCGGGGCGCTGCAGTTCAGGCGCTGTAGTTCGGGGCGCTGTAGTTTGGGGCGCTGTAGTTCGGGGCGCTGTAGTTCGGGGTGTTGTAGTTCGGGGTGTTGGTAGTTGAGGGGCGCTGTAGTTCGGGGCGCTGTAGTTCGGTGGCGCTGCAGTTCAGGGCGCTGTAGTTCGGGGCGCATGTATTTGGGGGCGCTGTAGTTCGGGGCGCTGTAGTTTGGGGCGCTGTAGTTCGGGGTGTTGTAGTTCGGGGTGTTGTAGTTTGGGGCGCTGTAGTTCGGGGCGCTGTAGTTCGGGGCGCTGCAGTTCAGGGCGCTGTAGTTCGGGGCGCTGCAGTTCAGGGCGCTGTAGTTCGGGGCGCTGCAGTTCAGGGCGCTGTAGTTCGGGGCGCTGTAGTTTGGGGCGCTGTAGTTCGGGGCGCTGTAGTTCGGGGTGTTGTAGTTCGGGGTGTTGTAGTTTGGGGCGCTGTAGTTCGGGGCGCTGTAGTTCGGGGCGCTGCAGTTCAGGGCGCTGTAGTTCGGGGCGCTGTAGTTTGGGGCGCTGTAGTTCGGGGTGTTGTAGTTCGGGGTGTTGTAGTTCGGGGTGTTGTAGTTCGGGGTGTTGTAGTTTGGGGCGCTGTAGTTTGGGGCGCTGTAGTTTGGGGCGCTGTAGTTCAAGGCCGTTGTAGTTTGGGCCGTTGTAGTTTGGGCGTTGTAGTTTGGGCGTTGTAGTTTGGGGCGTTGTAGTTTGGGGCGCTGTAGTTCAGGGCGTTGTAGTTTGGGGCGTTGTAGTTTGGGGCGTTGTAGTTCAGGGTGTTGTAGTTTGGGGCGTTGTAGTTTGGGGCGCTGTAGTTCAGGGTGTTGTAGTTTGGGGCGCTGTAGTTCGGGGTGTTGTAGTTTGGGGCGCTGTAGTTCGGGGCGCTGTAGTTCGGGGCGCTGTAGTTTGGGGCGCTGTAGTTTGGGGCGCTGTAGTTCGGGGGGCTGCAGTTTGGGGCGCTGTAGTTTGGGGCGCTGTAGTTCGGGGCGCTGTAGTTCGGGGCGCTGCAGTTCAGGGCGCTGTAGTTCGGGGCGCTGTAGTTTGGGGCGCTGTAGTTCGGGGCGCTGTAGTTTGGGGCGCTGTAGTTCGGGGTGTTGTAGTTCGGGGTGTTGTAGTTTGGGGCGCTGTAGTTCGGGGCGCTGTAGTTCGGGGCGCTGCAGTTCAGGGCGCTGTAGTTCGGGGCGCTGTAGTTTGGGGCGCTGTAGTTCGGGGTGTTGTAGTTCGGGGTGTTGTAGTTCGGGGTGTTGTAGTTCGGGGTGTTGTAGTTCGGGGCGCTGTAGTTCGGGGCGCTGTAGTTCGGGGCGCTGTAGTTTGGGGTTGGAATCCCTGAGGGAAGCCAGCACAATGTCTCTCAAACTAACCATTTTGTTGCTCTTTTTAAAATGTAATTAATATCAATATGTTTGCTATATTCCGTCAGAAAAAGGCAGAAGGTGTGCCCTGATTTAGATTTAAGACAGTAGGGACCAAAACACACACATAGGCTAGATTAATTTAACCTGCTCAATGGTTTATCATCAACTTGCAAATAGACTATATAATATTGAATGCTGTTTTGTGCAGGACCAAACCTGACCAACCATTTCATCCAAGGATATGACTGACATGCATTTTAGTGAGTCCGACGAAGTGACAAACCAGTAGGCGACATGGTTTGAATGTATTGTGTACACACACACACACACACAGCGTTGTCCTTCACACCCAGGTAATTGAAGAGTTCCCTACCTTCTCATCTAAGCTCCACTGTAGCTTAGCAACCTAGACACAGATAGAGGGGAGGAGCTAAACAACAAACAAAATGACAGACAGGAGAGGAGGAATACTATATGTGCAGGTGAAAGCAGTGCCGTTAGTGCTTCTGCTAACTCCATTAATGTCATTGTCAGACCAATAAGTAACAGGGAGATGGAATGATATCACTAACAGACTGGCATAACATTGGCATTGGCCGATGAAAGATCAACATCATAATAATCAGTTATTGACAGCACATGATATTCCGGCCATGAAGAAGACTGAGGATACGGAGACATGAGATCTGGACTAGAGCTGTCACAATACCACAACACTCAATTTTCCATGGCAAAGAAGCTGAACTCTACCGTCCTTCACAAACCTGCTGAACTCTACCGTCCTTCACAAACCTGCTGAACTCTACCGTCCTTCACAAACCTGCTGAACTCTATGGTCCTTCACAAACCTGCTGAACTCTACGGTCCTTCACAGACCTGCTGAACTCTACGGTCCTTCACAAACCTGCTGACAACAGGATGTGTGTTTTCAACATACTGTAGTTTCTTGAGAAAAAAAGAATGATGTCCCGCTTCATGTTTTGTTTCGTTGCCACGACCAGCGATGCTAGTATGGTGTCAACCCTAATATGAACTATAATCTGGGGAGAACACAGATGAAGAGATGGGACTATGATAGCAGTGGTTCCTGAAACATGATTAAACAACATGCAACAGCGGGTGGGACATTAACACAGTAAGTCAAGGGGAAACAAAACTCCCATTTACATACATAAAACACACATTAAAAGTAACAGTTAATGTTGGATAATGGTACTGCCTGGAAACACTGCTGCATTGTGGGTTAATTTCCTTAAAAACACATCCCACGTACGCAGACCGTTTGAACCTATTTGTCACTTTGGATAAAGGCATCTGCGAATAAATGATCATATTTGGGTCCTATGAAAAATCTGAATCCCCATCCTTAAGCGTCTATGTGTGATGACATTCTACCCCAGCATCTGTTAGGAGGAAACTGGTCAATCAACAACCCTGGGATGTATTCATTAGGAACCAAACAGAACCATCTGGAAGCAAACGGAACAGGGAGGGACCTACATGAATTTGTCCAATAGAAACTCTTGTTTTCGTAGCAAAATGTTTTCCGTTTGCAACTGTTCAGACTAATGATTACACCCCTGGTCTGAAAAACTGAAACATTGATACTGTAAATGTTCCGTAGCTTTGTAGACTGGCACGCATTGGTAGAATGAACCTCTATCAAACACAGAGACTGAGTGCAGTTACATGCACAGAATAATACGATTATTGTGAATAGTCAAATTAACGTGGGTATAAGTGAATTCACCATGACACCACCACGAGCTGTTTTATATGGAAGCCCCAACCTGTCACCAAAAAAATGAAATGCCTCATGATTTGTCAACGTGCTTCAGTCTGATCTACTGATGATAACCACTGCTGCTGGTAGCCTAGAGAAGTCTATGCACTCTGGAAGCCAGTCATTCCGCTACCCAAGACTGGTAAAGCGGCCTTTACTGGTTCTTTCAACCAGTCAGTCATTTGTGTTGAGTGCCCTTCTCTATAAGCATGCTGAAAGTCTGTTGTTAATTTGTTTACAGAGAAGTAGCATTGTATTTGGTGAAACACAATTTTTTCCAACTGTTTGCTAAGAGTTGGCAGCAAGCTTTAATGGAAGCTTCTCTAATGTCAGACATGTAAAGTGTGGTGTACCACAGGGCAGCTCTCTAGGTCCTCTACTCTTTTGTATTTTTACCAATGACCCGCCACTGGCATTAAACAAAGCATGTGTGTCCATGTATGCTGATGATTAGTCCATATACGCATCAGCAACCACAGCTAATGAAGTCACTGAAACCCTTAACAAAGAGTTGCAGTCTGTTTTGGAATGGGTGGCCAGTAATAAACTGGTCCTGAACATCTCAAACCAAGAGTATTGTATTTGGTACAAATCGTTCCCTAAATTCTAGACCTCAGCTGAATCTGGTAATAAATTGTGTGGCTGTTGAACAAGTTGAGCAGGCTAAATTACTTGGTGTTACCTTAGATTGTAAACTGTCATGGTCAAAACATATAGAGTCAATGGTTGTAAAGATGGGGAGAGGTCTGTCCATGATAAAGAGATGCTCTGCTTTTTTGACACCACACTCCACAAAGCAAGTCCTGCAGGCTCTAGTTTGATCTTATCTTGATTATTGTCCAGTCACATGGTCAAGTGCTGCAAAGAAAGAGGGCTAATATTAATACTATGCATGCCAGTCTCTCTTGGCTAAAAGTTGTTTTTATAAGAAACAAATGTGTTAGAAATTCCAAGTTGTTTGCATAGTCAACTTCCACACAGCACTGACACACACACTTACCCCACCAGACATGCCACCAGGGGTCTTTTCACAGCACTGACACACACACTTACCCCACCAGACATGCCACCAGGGGTCTTTTCACAGCCCCCAGGTCCAGAACAAATTCAAGGAAACATACAGTATTATACAGAGCCATGAGTGCATGGAGCTCCCTTCCATCTCATATAGCGAAAGTGAACAGCAAACCTGGTTTCAGAAAACCAATAAAGCAACACCTCACGGCACAACACCTCTCCCCCATGTGACCTACTTGTTGTGTGTATGTACTGACATGTATCTGTAATTGATAGATGCACAAACACTATGTTAATGTTTTTAAATGTATATGTAAACACTAAAGTATATTGTCTGTAATGTATTGTTCGTTATGTGTCGGACCCCAGTAAGACTAGCTGTCTCCATTGGCGTTGGCTAATGGGGATCCTAATCAATCAAAACCATCTGGGCCTGGCCAGGGGAAACGTAACGTCATATTGTTGTAGCCTAAGCTATGTATTTATAGGCTAAAATAGGCCCATTTATTTGTGTTCTGAGAAAATGTGAACATGATCAAAATGTGGTTTATATTCACATGTCGGGTGACTAGCCTATCTAGGCCTTTTAATCCACAAATGCAATCCTGAATACAGCAAAGCTCAGCTCAGTTTTTTAAATGTTGGTTTTATTGTCCAATCACAGTTGTCTGTCTGTGTAAAGGGTTTTAATACTTTCATCCTACCCAGGAACAGGCGTTTTTCCAGGAGTTTTTTTTTTTTTTAAACCCCATCATAGCCCATATCATAGCCAATATCATAGCCCATACCATAGCCCATACCATAGCCAATATCATAGCCCATACCATAGCCCATACCATACCATAGCCCATAGCCCATACCATAGCCCATACCATAGCCCATACCATACCATAGCCCATAGCCCATACCATAGCCCATACCATAGCCCATACCATAGCCCATACCATACCATAGCCCATAGCCCATACCATAGCCCATACCATAGCCCATACCATACCATAGCCCATAGCCCATACCATAGCCCATACCATAGCCCATACCATAGCCCATACCATAGCCCATAGCCCATACCATACCATAGCCCATACCATAGCCCATACCATAGCCCATACCATAGCCCATATATGAAAAACAGCTGATATATTACTACGTCATATGCTACAACTAGGGTCCAGAGTTTTTTGGTTAGCCTACTACCAGATCAGGAAAAACTCTGGGCTCCAGGAAAACAATCCCCCCCCCCCCCACCCCACGTTATACTTCCTCACGTCGTAAAGTGGTAGGTGATGCGCGATAGCCTGCATACCGCTGACCATGGCAGAGGTTTCCCCCCCCCGCGAGCGCGCACCACGTCTATCTCTATGGGCACAAGCACTGTTCATGACCCCCATTGTTGGTGGAGAGAACTTTGCAGGTTTAAAGCTTATTTCCTGCTAATCTACACATTTTGTCATGGGGTGCAAAGAACATTTAGCAGTTTTAAAGCAAATTTTCTTAAAATTCTATACATTTTGCCATGTCTAATGCGTATTCATGTGATATTTGAGTGACAAAAAAATTACTACAATATCTATGGGGCTACAAAACCTAAATAAAAAAACGTTAGCTGACATGGGCTAGTTGATCTGGACATTTCTGACAAGTTATAAATATCTCTCTAAGGTCTGCAATGACTAACATGACAAGAGGAACTGATGATGTACTACCCAATTTAGAAATTCTCTACCTCCCTGTGTTAATACGTCTCCACCTCCCTGTGTTAATACGTCCCCACCTCCCTGTGTCAATACGTCCCCACCTCCCTGTGTCAATACGTCCCCACCTCCCTGTGTCAATACGTCCCCACCTCCCTGTGTCAATACGTCCCCACCTCCCTGTGTCAATACGTCCCCACCTCCCTGTGTCAATACGTCCCCACCTCCCTGTGTCAATACGTCCCCACCTCCCTGTGTCAATACGTCCCACCTCCCTGTGTCAATACGTCCCCACCTCCCTGTGTCAATACGTCCCCACCTCCCTGTGTCAATACGTCCCCACTCCCTGTGTCAATACGTCCCCACCTCCTGTGTCAATACGTCCCCACCTCCCTGTGTCAATACGTCCCCACCTCCCTGTGTCAATACGTCCCCACCTCCCTGTGTCAATACGTCCCCACCTCCCTGTGTCAATACGTCCCCACCTCCCTGTGTCAATACGTCCCCACCTCCCT